AGGAAGGAGAGAGGAGACAGGAGAAAGGTGACGCAGGAGGAAGGTATGGCGGAAGGAGGAGGAAGGAGGAGGAAGGAAGGCGAAAGTTGACGAGTGAAGAACGGAGGTATGGCGGAAGGAGGAGGGAAGAAGGGGAAAGGAGGTGGGAGATAGGTGGCGCGAGGAGGAGAGAGGTATGGCAGACGGTGGAGCGAGGAAGGAGTGCGAGAAAAGGTGGCGTGTGGAGAACGGAGAGGGGACGCTGGAGGAATGGAGGGACGATGGAGAGAGGATGACGATGGAGGAAGGAGATGCGGGAGAGGTGCAGATTCAAGGGAGGTGAGAGAGAAGGTACCATCAATTTCGAAATATTGCCTTCATGGAAAACAGAAAAAAAAGGGAAGTCGGGGCCGGAGGAAGGACGCGAGACAAAGGTGGCACAGATTCTATGAACGGAGGAGGGAGGGTGGGAGGAGGGAGGGTGGGAGGAGGTCGTGATGGCGGGAAGTCAAGGAGGGGGGAAGGACGAAGGGGGTAGGAGGTGAGAGAAAGGCAGCGTAGATCCGAAGGAGGGAGGACGGATGATGGAGGAGAGAGCTAGGAGGACGTCGTGATGATGGGAAGTCGAGGAGGAAGGAAGGAGGTGGTCCAGATACAGAGGGGCGAGAATCGACAATCAAGCGAGGATGGAAAATGGAGCGAGGATGGACGATGGAGGCAGGTAGGAGGAGGGCGTGGCGGCGGCGAGAGAGAGAGAAAGAGGGACGGAGGGACGGAGGGAGAGAGGGCTGGTGGTCACCCACCTGCTCGGCTGTCCTCCTTGACTCCAGCCGCTCCCGCTCGGTGACGGCGCTGCCTGCTGCCGCTGCCGCTGCCGCTTCCCGCTCAGTCAGGTCGCCAGCTATGGGGGAAGAGGCTGGGCCACAGAGTAATGGCGAAGGACTTACACTGCGCTAGTGGGACGACGCCGATAGCTACACGCTCGACCGACGGGCAAATGACGACGAACGGAAAGGAACTGGTCTGGTCGCGCCGGGGGACCAGGCAATGCCAACTTTCGTAACTACTCGAATTCGAAGTTGGCTTGCTCTCCCCCCAAAACTTTTGTCAGGCCTTGGCGCGGCCCGCAAAAAAGATTGCGCGGGGAAAAAAGTATCTAACAGCTTCCCCGGCCGCTGCAGCGCTAGGACCAAGCATTTTGCGGCCGGTAACGGCGGAGTGCCGGGCCCGGGGTCATACCACCGTCATACGCCCGCGGTAGATCGGGACACTGTCACCTACCCCAAGGAGTAGGTTCATAGGTCGGGCTCTAGCTACGGAAGTTGCCCTAGCTGTTACCCGGAAAAGGTCCTCGTTCCATGTCTACGAAGGTCGTAGTATCATGTGATAATTGCCCCTTTCGCTCAAAGCTCGCTGTTAGTGTGGACCAGCTGTCTCTAAACTGAAACGTGCCTATTTGAACCATGGCTGAAGCAGCCATGGCAGAAGTGATTGGAGATGTCAGGGAAGCCAGAACGAGGAACGAGGTCCCCACCTCAGGCGGCAAACCTTGAAGGCCAAGACTACGAGCTGATGTTCCGTTATGACGAAGGAATCATGCCAAGGAATCATGCCCACTGACATTTATCTTGGATGATTGAAGGCAGGGAGGTGAGGTTTAAACCACCAGTAGGTTTCCCCGCTTGGAAAACAATACCGCGGGGGTTAAACCACCAGCACCGGCGCTGCGGCGCGAGCACCCTTACAAGGGTGTTTTCACGCACATTTGTACTTTACACAAGTAGCGCCTGAGGGGATGCTAGAGGCCATAATTAATATGAGTATCACGCGGCCCACGCTCGACTCATTCTAGTCAGACGGCGGGACGTGCGAGGTGAGATTAGAGGGTGTATGGATGCGCTAGTTTAAGACGGGCCGGGCACGGAGCCCGGCACCCGCACTGTAGGAGGACGCCGGCTCACGATCAGGAATTCGGACGATAAGCCAAAGTGTGGCCTTTAAACCACCAGTACCTGGCCCAGCTATCGAGTCCGAGCCTCGGCCGACCGGTACGCCGATCCGTGCCGAGGCTCGGACTACTGGGCGCAGGCATCCCGAACGTCGGAGTGAAAGAACGAAAAAAATGCGAAAAAAAAAACGAAAAAAGAAGAAAAAAAAAAAAA